GAACTGCAGTAACGTAAAACAAGGATATTACTGAATGTGTATTAGGACAGTAAATCTTTCCAATGAAGTCCAGTACTCTGGATCACATCATGACCTGTTAAACACAATACTGCTGGAACAGTGAGTCCCTGCAACTCATTGCAAAATCCTATTGCATACCAAAAGGGAGTATACTATAAGTATACCTGCATGTGCAATTTCTATCTGGAAGGGAGCTGTGCTGGGGCTGAGGAGCTGGAAAATGCGTTCAAGCTGCTGCTACAAATTCTCCTCCAGTCCTGCTCTCAGCTTCTGAGCCCAGCCCTGGTGCATCTACACTCTAACTGGACTATGTGCCCGCAGCCTTGGGGCAGGGGAAGTAGAAGCGGGAAGGGGGGGAGAAGCAGCAGTGATTTGGACGTAGTTCCAGCTCCCTGGCCCCAGCGCTGCTCCTTGCTGCCCAGCCCCAGCACATGTAGGAGCACAAGCAAAGCTCTGCAGCCCACGGGCCAGATCAGGCCTGCAGGCTGCATCTTGCCAGCCCCTCAAGCATACGATAAACTTTCTACTTTCATGTATCTTTAAAGAGCAATCTCCCTTTCAGAAACCAGGCAGACCAATGTGATCCTGTACAGGTCATTCTCTTCATAGGACCTACATTTTTTTTTTCTAATAACGAGAAAAAAAAAAAAGGTTTCCTTCAAAGAACTTCAGGCCTGCACACAGAGCCTACAAATACATTTTTATAAAGAAAAACGCCCAGTTATCTACTAGAAAAATGCCCAGTTATCTACAAGAAAACCACTCTCTCTCCAATCTCTCAGTCCTGATCCTCAAATGAAACTTACACAACTCTTCCCAGAGACAAGCCTCTGAACTCCACTTCATCAACCTCCTGGATACTAAAAATCATGGACTAAATATAGACATTGGATTTATGACACATTATAACCTGCCTGATATCCGACTCCCCTGGTATCTCTCCACTATTCATCCCCCTTCTATCTCTTCCCCCGCTCCCCAGCCTCTCTCTCACCCATTGACTCTTCAATCTACATCTTCACCAACTGCCTGTCTCGGATGCAGCCCAGCCCAGCCGCTGGCTTCTTTACTTTTCATTCCATCCAGGAAGAGCACACACAAACTGCTGACACTTCCTTAGTCTGACTAAGGGTTTTTGAACCCAAAAGTCTGCTTAAAAATTGTTTTCCAAGTATTTAAGTCGGTCTAATAAAAGATATCCGATTCACCCAAAGAACCTTGTCCTTAGACCTACATGGCTTCAACCTACACCCCAGTTATCTACCCTGTTTTTTAACTATTCATTTGTTGTACTTCATGCTTCTTTTAGGTTTACTTCTAAGCACAGAAAGGATGCCCGTTTTAGATCCTGTTTAGTTTATATAAGAAAGGTCAAGTCAGATCACCATTGATCTTAACATTTTCTTGTTGTAATATTTATGAAAAATTACAAGGAACAAAGAACTGCAAGATTTGGCTCGATGCAAATGGACACAAGTAATTTTTTTTATTTCAAATGACTGCAGTTTTGCTAAAGACTTCGTAGAAGTTAAAAGATATTCATTTACTCAAAATCTATACAATTAACAATACAGGCAGGCCTCAGACTTACGACACAACTGATTCCTGAAAATCGCATCTTAAGTTGAAATGTAACTCGGAACCAATTTTCTCATATGAAACAATGTTATAAATGGGGGATTGGTTCCTGAACCAAGCCCCGATACCTTATTTTCACCAAAAATACCCCAGATTTTTGTACTCGATCAATTATAGAGTAATATAGCTACATTAATGAATTTATATTGTAAATAGCAATCATATTGATTTGGAAGGACTTCTTTGAGGTGATTTTGCTGGACTTTTTGAAAGGCTCTTGGCTGGACTTTTTCAAGGGTTCTTGGTTCTCCAGAGTCTCAGTTGCAGGTTTTTCTGGAGTCTTGTCTGCTTTCTTAAAGAAAGTGTCCAAGGAAGTTTGGACAGATGTTCTCCAGGGAGATGAGCAACGCAGCGAACTTGTTTGCTGGCATGGCGTCACATTGGATCAAGCATTGTAAAGTCGAAACTGACGTCATAGAGTTGAAACAGGGTGTCGATTTAGAAATGCTGTAAGTGCGAAACGTTGTAACTCAAAACACTGCAAGTCGAGAACTGCCTGTAATGCACTATACCACTGAAATTCAATCCACAAAGGGTTACTGAAAAAGTACTCAAAAAAAAAGATTCCCCACTGACTTCAAACACCATCCTCACTGAGACAAAACATTTCCAACTTACAAATACAATCTAACTATACTAGAAAAACCAACGAGCTGGACAGCAAGTATAAAAAATTCTCAGGTATATTTACGTGATATTAAAACTGACCCATTCTTTCACTAACAATATCTTTTTTCTGCTGTTCAAAGAGGATCTGTGACAAACCCAATCTTCTGAGCTTTTCTTATTCAGAACTTGCCAGAATCACAAGACAATTTCTTTTAAATGACATAATTTGTAGACCACTAAAAGCAAAACACAGCAAGAAGAAATTATTATTTTTTGCAAAATAAGTTTTAAAAATCTTGATACCATCCCATTACAGCACTACTGTTCCTGTGACGCTACTCTCCACCATCCTCACCAGTTTCAAGGTTTCAAGAGGGTTTACTATAGATGAGAGTTAAAAGGTCAACAACATAAATCAACTGTCTCATAAATAACAATCCTAGTAAATAAGTTCCATCTTCCAGCACATAATATGCAGCTAGTGGCTTCTCTTCACAACATGAAAATGTCATCTAGATCCTTGAACTAATAATATGACAAGATTTTATTGCTGCTTTTAATACTGCTTGCAGAATTTCTCCACAGTTCAATGAGGTTTTGTTTCACTGCTGAACAACTGGTTTCTTTCCAATCAGGCCAGTTAGATCTACAAAGGTAAAATCACTTGGGAATGGTTCTTACAGGCTTTAAGCAGCTCAAATCAGTTTGTGTCTACATTCAGTCTCTAGACACTTTATTTTCTATATATTTTCTTTGGAGGGTTTCACCTTTAACCACATGTGAGCTGGTCACCCCTTTCATTTTTGCCTCTACATCGACCAAGTCATACAAGTGTTTTGTTATGACAGTATGAATTGCACTGTGTTGTTTTCCTTCAATCTTAGTAACACATGACCATACCTGTACAATATTCTGAAGGGGGAGCTAGAGTATTATGTTTAATTTTTTTAAGGATCAAAAATAATATCACATTTGTTTCTCCTGGAATATTTAATGTTTGACATGTGCCAAATTTTGTACAGATTCTTCGTCAATTCCTTTTTTTTTTTTTAAACAATCCTGATCGCTACTAGGTTTCACTCTGGGCTTTAGTTATATTTCCTTGTTCCTTAAACTAACATTTTATGAATCTTTTTATCACACATTTCTTACCCTACATTGAACAGTCATCCGTAAGCTTAAATCAAAGAGCTTTAAAAAAAATGACTTGGCTTGTTCCAACATGTCCTTCACCTTTTTCATGCTTCTGAATTTATTTTTAAAAATTGCACATAATTTCCAGAGTGTGCAATGGCATACAAGCTTTGTATTCAACTTGGCTACAAAATGCATTTACATTTTTAACTACAAAGCTATTATTTAAAATTCCTCATTCAAATTAATTTTAGACCACATATTGATTCACTAAAGCAGCTCACATGACATGCCACACTTCTAGATTTTGAAACCAGCTTTAATTTTAAAGCTTAGGGCTACTAACAACTGGACATTGTGGTCTGAATCAAACATTTCAAAGCTGGCTGTAGAGATTTTACAGTTTGGATTCTGTCAGCTTTGAAATTCAGAAAGCATGTTTAGAATGACACGTGCTGCTCCAGACAGTCTGCCCATCTTCAAAAATGTAGTTTTCAGTAACATTATGAAAGCATGAAAGGTACTTATTTTCATTCTGTCTGCCATGCTTAACTGCTTGACTGCTCCAGATCAACTCAAGGGTTAGGGAAGCGAGTGAGGGGATAGTGCATATGTTGCAATGCTGAAGTAGGACTGGTAAAATACTACCATATAAGTATCTAGCATATACTATAAATTACTTTTTTCCTCTCTTTTTTGAATAAATAGCACCAAGACAGTGCTCTGACAGGGAAATAGCTGCTAAACTGAGCATGAGTGAGAAACGGATGCAAATTAGGCTTCCCTGAAATTAATTTTGAAAAACAGTGTAGTCCCGCAGGATCAGCTAGAAAATGACCACGGCCCAAACTCTGTTCTCACAGACATCACTGGCAAAATTCCCACCGACTTGCATGGAACAAGCAGAAGCAGAAAGCTGTTTAAAGTGTCCTTTCAACACTCACCAATTCATATTTGTGAAACATGGTCAACAATAGGCATCTGACTCCTATTTAATGTTACCAAAAACTTACTAAGAAAGTATTTCAAAATCAAACTTATCAACAGAGATTCTAACAAGCATAGTGAACTCAAACAGCAAAACAGAATGTCAGTAACACTGCATGATCTATTTGCCAACCAGTCCCCAGTTTCTTATACTGGTACCCAAAGTGTCGAAGTACCTCTGGTGGCACTTGCTCAAAACGTAATGAGGCTAACGCTCATTATTTCAACTGGTTCTGCTTTCCACAATCTAAATCTAGAGTTCAGCTCCCTGCTGACATGTCTTCTGGTCAACAGTTTTTTCCCAGTTGGAATGAAACTGTTGTGAAATGTTAAAGCCAAAGAGGAAAATTTGTCTTGCCCAAGCAACCAAAATCAATTCCACGAGGAGCTCTGAAAACAGTCAAGCAGTACCCCTGAAGTACACATCTCTTGGGGAATCAAGGAGAAAGGAACAACGTTTTGGGAAGATGAATTCCTGCTAAATTTTTATTGCTGAATGGGCAGGCCCCTGGGTTGTTTTTTTTTAAACATACAGTAAAAGACAAAGGACATTTTCTAAATATTAAATAAAGTTTAGATGTTTTAGTAATATCATAAACCAAAAAGCTTACCTTGCCCAGAATTATATATTGCTTTTACAGATTTTTTCACTTTCTGTAGTGAAGTTCTGTCTTGATCCAATGCCTGTAATAAAAGATAATAAAACTGTCAGTTCTGCTTACTGTATATTAGTAAACAAGAGTAAACAGAACAATGTTATTAAGTACTTAAGGAATAATTTCAAGGGCTGAAAGAACTACAGATGCCCCGAGTTCAAGCTTCTGGGGAGGTTCAGACTCTCTAAGTGACTTTTGAGTCTACAGGCAGAGTAGAAGCACCATGATAAAGCTATAGGACAGCTATACGATGATTACAACTTCATAAAGGGACACCATCTGCTTTTCATTATTTTTAAAATTTTGAATGTTGGTGCTAGGATTATTTTTGTTTTGGAATTCACAACATTTCAGGTACTTCAGTTACCTAAATACCCTGTTATTTTTTATGGCTGTAGTGTAAAAATATCCCTCCACCCATGAAAACAGATTATACAGTGAAAACAGTAAAAAAGGCTGTATAGAAAACGCTGTCACGAGCACAAGCTAAACAAGTACAATCCCAAGAAAAGTATTTTCTCTCTCATTCAGTTAAATATTGCTGTCAATTGTTATGATAACAAGCACACCATTTTCAGAAATACTGTCAACCTGAAACTATCACAATATTACTCTAAACAAAACTGACTGCAGTGAGATAAGGTTCAACAGAGCAAAAAATAAAAATTTATGATCTGATCCTACAAACACATATAAGCAACTTACTGCCATTATTTAAATAAGGAAACTCTTTAGATTTCTATCACCCCAAAATATTCTTATGATTCCTATATTTAAGCACGCAACCCTCCACCAAGTTAATTAATTTGAAGATCCAGATAGGTCGAAGTTTGTAATTAAACTTGTGGCCCTGTTCTTTTTAATCGCATAATCTGTGGAACCCATTCAGAATCTAGTGGGAGTGAAAAAAATTTAATCTGAGAAGAGAGAAAAAGTCAATCTGATCTGTGGTATAACAGCTTTTTTGTCCCACACCTGAAACTATGCAAGGCAGCCTAGATCCATTCTTTCATATGCGTAGTCACTATGCACTTGACTGTATATGTTTGATCATATTGCATTATTCATGATGGAGAATAAATACAGAATTGAGTTGTTTAACCACATTAATTTTGAAGCACAAAAGGAAGTGGGAACAACTTCAGATCAATAACTCCAATGCTAGGTCAATAACGAAAGGTTAAAAAATACCCTGCCTTTTTTACAATACAAGTGGATTTGAATTTTTACGTATAATTTTGTAAAGCGACTCAATTTTTGCAATACAAAATAGCTACAGTTGAAAGATGCACAAAGCCAAGAAGCAAAAGAAATAATTTAAGCATGTTTGTGGATTAATATCCAATTCAGACCCCATTGTGTATCCAATGGTACAACATTTATTAGCATTTCAATTGAGGCTAGAAACTCAAGAACTTAAATGTGTTGCAAAGCTATTCATTTCTTATCCTACTTTCTCTTTTCATTTAACTTCCATCAAAACAATAGATTGAAACAAATCCTTGCATTTGTTCATTAAAAATTAACCTGAACTGTCTGCAGACGCACATTCAAATAATCTGGGAGAATTCTCCAAAGTTTGTTTTTCTGGTATAAAAATGTACTTGAAGAAGCCTGAACACGTATTCAAATACTGAGCCCCAGAGGAGTAGAGAGCTTGCAGTGCCGATGCTGGGAGGGCTCTGTGTGCTCTGCAAGCTCCCTCAGTCTGCATGGAGACAGCTGACAGCAGTGCACGTGGTCCTGACTGGCTGACCCAAATTAGAGTCAGTCTGCAACTCCCAGCAGGACAATGCGGGACTGTTAAAAGGACATGTTTTGCTTGGCTAGAGCAGCAGAGTCCAGAAACCAGCACTCTTACTTCAGCAGGGAAGGGAGCAGGGGGGAAAGGAGGTCTGGAGGACAGTGCTGGAGTACTGTGCTATGGCTAGTCTCTGTCATCCAAGAGACGCTCTCCTAAGATTGATTTAACCCTGGTTTATCCCAAGTTAATTTTTCTTCTGGAGTGGCCATTTTTGCCCTAGGAGAAAAAAACTGAACATCTGGATACTCATGGTTTCTCCTGGGAGAGCAGTGACATGGCCTTAACATCTATACATAGCCACTGTACTTTTATTCACCAGTTATACGGCAGCTGTTCCCATTCAGATTCCTTTAAGATGCATGTCAAATTTGTACTATTTCTCAATAGATCTTAAACCACTCCCCATATTTCCTATCAAATTTCCATTAAAAAAAAAAAATATCTTCATCTTCAACTATGAGGACAACTACTCAGAACAGACTGGAATTTAAGCACTGAAACGAAAATTCTGAGAAACAGGCCCCCTCTCATCGTCAGCAGCAGTGATCCCTCATGGTCAAGGATGATCACTCCCACAGGTCAAGTAAAGAGTTGTAAATGAGCCTGTTGATGGATAAGACTACCAATCCTAGAGCCACAGACTCTCTGGCAAATGCCACAGCTAGTGGTTAAAGGGAGGATCAGACCACAGATTTCTTGGTCTTGTTTCCTTTTCTTCCATTTCTATCATTTTTCTGCCTCCAGGGTGAGAAGGTTTTCCTCAAAAGATGTACCTTCTCTCAGAAGGCATCACCATGTAGCCCTTTCCCAGGCCAATTTTTCCCAATTTATGGTGTTAATGCCACACTTCTTAAAAGTTCACCTTGGAGGTGAGGGTGCTCTTGAAGCATTTCCTTTGGCCTTAGCTATGTTGGGAGGATAGCAGTTGTTTTGGTAAATGTGCATCAGGCATGTACACACAGTGCTCTGTCCACCACAGCTGATGTTTATTAAATCAACCCTTTCATATTGGTGGTGTTAGCATCAGTGAGGACGCTGGAATGTATATGATAATCCTCCCACTTTATGCCAAGGATCTTTTGGAGGTAGCGCTGGTGGTGGCGGCGTTCCCGGCTTTTCAGGTGGTCCCTGTTGGTCACCCAAGCTTCACAGCCATAGGGAAGAGTTGGGATTACCACAGTCTTATAGCAGGAGCTTTGTTCAAGTCCTGGTGTCATGATAGTTGAACCATCCTGATGATTCAGTCTTCTGAAGGTAGAACTGGCAATTGGATCCTACGCTGGATCTCTTCATCGATGCTGGCTTTTGAGAGACGACTGCTGAGGTATGTAAAGTGTTCAATATCTTTCAGCTCCTGTCTCTCAATGAGGATCTTTGCTGGGGGAGTTGACTGGCCGTTGTTTTTCCGATGTTAAGGGTCAGTCCCAGGCACTGGTATGCTTGAGAGAAGCAGGTAAGGGCCATTTGTAGGTCCTCCTGCATATGTGCAATGACAACACAATCAATGGTGGCCTCAAGTTCCACGATTGAGGCCAAAGTAACTTTGGTTTTGCCGCAGAGGTGGGAGAGATTGAAAAGGTTCCCGTCCATCCTGTACTCAGTGCTGATACCATGTGGCAGACTGCCATTGATGAGTATTTTGATGACCACAAGAAAGATGGAAAACAAAATTGGTGCAATCATGCAAGCCCTGTTTGATGCCAGTTCAAATAGCAAAGGGCTTTGTAGTGGAGCCAGTGCACAGGATGAAGGAGCTTTAGGATGGTGATAAAATTTCCCTGGGCAGCCCAACTTTGAGAAGATCTTCCACAGAACCTCATGGTTAGCAGAGTTGAAGGCTTTGGTCAAATCAATAAATGCCATATACAGATCCTAGTGTTGTTCTTGGCATTTTTCCTGGATCTGCTGGGCCTCAAAAATCATGTCCATTGCGCCTTTTGATGGTCTGAAGCCACACTGAGACTCAGGGAGGATTTCCTCAGCAAGGAGCAGTCAGTTCAGCAAAATACAAATGAAGATCTTCCCAGCGATGGAGAAGAGGATAATACCTCAATAGTTTCCAGTCAGACAATCTCCCATTTTAAAAATGGTGACAATCTTGGCATTCCTTAGGTCAGCAGGTGACATTCCTTAGATCGGTCAGTGGGCATTTCCTCAGTGTTCCAGATTTTGAGAAACAGTGTGTGGAATGTATTGGTCATAGTTTCCCCACCTACTTTGAAGACCTCAGCTGGTATGCAATCAGGGCCAGAAGCTTTGTTGTTCTTCACCTGTCATATCACCTGGTAGACCTCTTCAGAGGTTGGTAGACTAGTAAGTGCTTCCCTTGCTGGATGCTGCACGATGGATTTGACAATTTCATCAGTCACTGTCAATTCTCAGTTCAGGAGCTTTTGGTAGTGCTTCTTCCAATGGTTTTTGATGGACTCATCGTCTATGAAGAATGTACTGCCATCTTCAGATCTAAGCAAGGTAAGTCCGCAAGAGCTTGGTCCATACACACCCCTGATTGCACTAAAGATGCTCTGCATGTCATGGTTGTCAGCAAATTTATGTTGCCTTCTCTTCCCACCATTTGTTTTTGATTTGTTGAATCTTCGTCTGGGCTTCAGCTTAAATTTATTGAAAAGTTCCCTGCTTTTGACTGAACGCAGGATGGTTTTGCCAGTCACAGAAAGCTTTACTCTTCCAATCAAGATGAGCTTTGATCTCAGAACTGTTCTCACCAACCAGTCCTGAGGGCATTGGGTGATAAAGCCAACTGATTCTGTGTGAGCTTCATGGATGGTCTCCTTTAGAGCTTGCCAATCTTCTTCAACACAGGTGTCAGCATTTTCAATCCTAAAATTGGCAAGTTTCTTGCTGAGATATGTTTGGAGGGCTTTGCAGTATCTAGGGATCTGAAGGCATTTGATGTACTGTCTTTGGACTGATTTGGATTGTTTTCGATGTTTCAATGAAACCAATGGACATGATTGATCTCACTAAGTGATGATCAGTCCAGCAGTCACTGGTTTCTCTCATAACAATGTGTGATATACATGTTACATGTATTTAAACTGGCCACATGTGCGAGGTACAAAGTGACAGAGCTCTGAGCTGTGGGGGTGCACCATGCTCTGCCACAGCCGGGAGTACCACAGCTGATGGGACTCAGCCACAGCAGTAAGCAGGGCACCATCTGGGAGCCTGGTCAGCTGTAGGACTTGCAGCCAAGGGAGCTT